TTAGTGCATTTATACATGTAAACTGTATTATTCATAGCGATTGAGTAAAGAACTTTATATTAATTTCTATGTATCAATTTATGATAGATAATGTTGCTTTATAAGATATGTTGGGAATATAATATGTTAATGGAGTGAAATTAAATAGATAGCAAAAATATTACCAAATGATGCTTATCTCCTAAAGAGAAGCCTAAAACCCATGAAATAGATATAAGGATCAATAAACCTGTGAAACAAGGTTTGACTATTCAAGTCTAATAGTCAATTAGACAACCTAAAACAATGCATTTAGACTACCTTGATTTAAGGTGTATTAGTACAGTATCTATTTTTGAATTTTTTGAATTCACTCAAATGACAATTCACTCCATCAAATTTAGGTTCCATGGGTTTTAATGACTTTTACTATTGTCTGATAAGCACTTATATTTAGTGTATTTTTTTGCACTATTTAAATTGATCCCTTCTAATTCAGCATGTTGTGAAAATGATTTTATAGACTTTTAAAATTGCAAGAATATTGTAGTAGAGAAATAGAACATTTTGTACTTCTACAAATTTTGYTCTTTGACTAAAATCTGGTATATATTACAACAGGCCACTCAGTCAAACGATTTCATTTATTTATTTTTTAATATTTTCCTTTTTAGTAAGGTATAAATGTTCCATTTCTCTATTTTTGTAATTATAATGTCTCCAGTCCAATATCCCCTGTACGTTTTGTTATACTCCTAATAAAAATCTTTAAATTTTCATTCATTTTGCAATTATTTTGAACGGCATCGTCGAGTTTGAAAATACTTTTTTTCCTGATATCCGAAAACATATCTTACGTCATCGTACACCACTCAACAAGGTTCCTTGTACGACCATTTCTGGTATAAAGGGCTTCGCCCGAATTACCATGACACAAATTTATTCCTGTTTCAACAGATTATTTCCTCATTCTGTAATATCTCAGAATAAGCATTCGTATAAGTTAGAGAAACTTTGCAGTGATAGAACTGATATTGAAGATGGCATACTAACTGGTGAAATACTACCGTTGAAAAAATCGCCTACAACTTTCCACCCATAATAGTATTTACAATAAAGTGCTAATAAATGGAGTACGTATTGGTATTACTGCTGTTGTTGTGTACGTTTTTCGTTGCACAATCAAAGTCTAAAGGTAAGCAGAAGATATCAGCAATTTGAGTTCCCAGTATTACAGTATGTCTTTCTATGTCTTTGTACGGTATAAAAAAGAGTCAAAAATGAATCCAAATTTTGCCATCGAGGTTTTTCACACTTTTTTTCCTTCTATTTTGAATGACAAGACGAACAAAAACGTATTTTTATGTCCGATTCTCTATTAATTTTACTATTTTGCCCTGAAAATGCTATATAATAAATATCTTATTAACCTCGCTTGCTCGAGCCGTACGGGAAGTTATGGAACCTCGTTTTTCTCCACTTTTTTATGGCACTCTACGCGCTTTGGCCATAAGTCAGTGGAAAAAAAGTCGGTCCATAACTTCCCGTACGGCCCTCGCGCTCGGTTAATAAGATATTATTATAGCTCAATTCTAACACGCGCGCTGATTGGTGCTCTGCGAACAGAGCTACTTTTCTCACCCGCCGAGAAGCGAGAAGTCGGCAGAGGTGTTTTTCTCTCGCTTCTTGGCGGGTGAGAAAAGTAGCTCTGTTCGCAGAGTAGCTGATTGGCGGATTTCATGAGAAAAGCTATGGTGATTTTGTCGGTAAACAATCCTGCTGTCTTGAAAGACTTCTGAGTCTATAAAATGGCGGACGACGGCAATAATATAAAAGCAATAAAAGATAGCTTGAACGGGTTTACTGGCGAAATAGACCGTTTGGGATAAAAGGTAAATCACTCGCACGACGGCTCGTGATTTACTGATCTTTTCTCGTTTCTGTCGTTTTCTCCCAACCCTTGCGGTTTATTTCGCCAGTAAACCCCTTCAAGCTATCGTTAATCACTTAAGATCAAAAGCGCTCGTAGATGGAATAGAAGTCCTCTATCTACCAAATATTGAAACTATATTTTCCTTCTCTTTTTTATCTCAGGTCTTGACTGCGCAGCGCTGGTCGATGGACGGGACCCGAGAGCAAAAGTACCGTGTTTGCTAAGCAGTCCGAACGCAACGACTTGTGCAGGGATTGGGTGCTGTTGGGATTCGCGTCCTTCAAGCAAGTTGAAGTGCTTTACTGTGGGGTAAGGTTTCTCTCTCGCTGACGAGGAATGGATTTCCATGTTTGTGTGGCCATGGGAACGAGGTTTTCTATAGACAAACGATTAAAACAATCAACGGACCGACCGGTCGGCCAACAGTGTGAACTAATAAATGATTAGTTTGAGCTCATGTTAACTGAATATTCCTTTTCAACAGGGGGAACACATGCCACATCAATCCAGTACCGTCATGCATGAAAATTATAAACACCACACTGCCGGATCATCGAGTGACCCCCCGGTTCATTGACAACAAGCTTGGCATTCCTATAACAGAGGTATTTTTAAGAGAAATGATTAACATCATTAACCAATATGCCAACGATGACAAGGCTTGTCAAAAGATTTTGTTGACAATGGTTTGTCACTACACCGTACCCCCCTGTAAGTCTGATGGCAGCGCTCGTACTTTCTGTCAAGAAGACTGTATAGCGATATTCAAGCGCTGTAAAGATTCGCTGAATCAGGTAGATTTATGACTAGT